TGGATAATGATGGATCAAACTTTCTGACCACAAGTGGGAGAGCCTTAAAGGCAGAATTCCTCTAGTAGTTTAAACCCCTTGGTTGATGTAATATTGGCTTGCATGATCTCATAAATAGAAGATAGAAAAATAGCATGTGAGAATCTAGTGGCATTCTTAGCTTTAGAAATAGTGATTGAATGGGGTGGTACATGTTGGCTATTGTAGTTGCCATTACATGGTTCTATTTACAGAATCTCAATCCCATAAAACTGTAATTTTTTAGATTCATCTAATAGAGGTTCATACATAAGGGAATATGAATTGGGGATTCAGGTTTGATTGAATCAAGGTGGATAGTCTTTTTCATGTCTCTTATACATAAAATGCCTAATTTATCGGTAAGCATCTTAAAAATCATCTCAATCTTGTTTTAAATCTTATTAAAATCCTATTAAACTTCGCTAGTATTGGTTAATGTTCCATTTTCTTTGCATACATAAAATGCCTAATTTATCGGTAAGCATCTTAAAAATCACCTCAATTCGGTTTTAAATCTTATTAAAATCCTATTAAACTTCACTGGTATTGGTTAATGTTTCCTTTTCTTTGCATGGTAGTCAAAGAGACATCATTAAGTCTAGGCTCATAAAACTACAAAAAAAGCTTTGTCCCAAAGGAAAGATGAACAATTAGAACAATCTTCAAAAAATGTACCTTCTGTACCAGCCAGAAAACACATATAATTGAGAATGCCATATCTTCTTAAAGTTGTAACTAGCCAATTCTGTCACGAAATTCACTGTGATGTGTTGTCACTTCTACTCCGGAATCGGTAATGGCTGAAGTAGGCCGTTTGAGTGCTGATGCTCTGCCTTGACCTGCTGACACACTAGACACTTGAAAACAAAGTCGACTACTTCTCTTTTCATCTCGTTCTATCAAAATCGGAGTCACATACTTTGATACATTTTAGTGTTTCCGAGATGCATGACAAACTTTGAGCTATGAGCTTCTGTCATGACGTACTTTTTCAGCTCACTGTCACATAAAACACATGTCCTGTCTTAAAATCTGAGTAACTCATCGATAAAGACTTGAAAATTATGAATTTACTTCATGTTTTACACCTTTCCTGAGAGCTGCTAGGATGGAATCGGTGAATTAAGTTTCCTTTATTCTCCAGATCAACTCAGGTTGAACAGTCAGGTGAGCCAAACATGTAACTCTTTTCAGGTCCTGAAGTCATATCTGTTGTGCGGCCCTTATTATCCTATATTCTGAAACCATTATGTGAGGTAACATACATGCATTTTTTCTACTGAGTGCGTCAGCTATCACATTGCTCTTATTCGGGTTATACAAAATGTTGCAATCGTAGTACTTGAGGAGTTCTATCCATTGTCTCTGACACATGTTGAGATTTTTTTTAGTAAATATGTATTTCAAGCTCTTATGATCGGTATAGATCTGAAAAGTATCACCGTACAAGTAATGGTGCCAAGTCTTCAAGGCGTGGATAATCGCGACAAGTTCTAAGTCGTGGGTGGAGTAGTTTTTTTCATGACTTTTCAACTGCTTGGACTCATAGGGTATGATCTTCTTATGCTGCATCAGAACACAAGGCAACCCCAGGTAGAAGACATCACTAAGTGTATCCAGCTATCACACTCGGCAAGACCAACACAGATGCTAGTAATCAACCGTTTCATTAGTT